TCAACCACGTTTCGATCCGCGCGCCATCTGGTGGCTGAAACGGACGAATAAATAGAGGTACCGCAGCGGCATGTGCTTGAGACAGTCCAGACTTCTTGTCGGAGCAAGTTCGGTGTACTGTACAAACTCCTGCTCCCATGAAGCAGATGTTTCGAAGTTAATGAAGTGCTTAAAGGGATGCTTCAACGAAATTTGAAATATTCCCGTCGTGTTCAAAAATATGTTGAATATGATCCACAATATCCGTAAATGACAATCGCACTTTTGTATTTTGATCCTGGTGGCTGTATTTTTCGGTATAAACGGCCCACTCTGGCAAGCGCTCGGAGAAGGCCCAGCTTAGAGCACGTGACATCCAACGCAATCGTGACGTAGGTCGTCTCAAGACGAGCAAAGCTACGGCGAGGCTGACGTCGAGAGGATGGCCTAGTCGTTCCAGCCACCGAAGCGGCTGCTTTTGTACGAATTTTGAGTGGCGGGTTAATCTTCTATAATCTTCTAGGGGGACAATAGCGACTTCTGCGACACACAAAAGGGATTCTCGGGAAGAGGGGAGTTTCTCCTTCCCCCCTTCTCTCGTCGTGGCCGGAGACGAGACAACATCCGTCACTAGCTGTCAAGGTTCCTAGACGAGCATTACAAACGAGGCGTTAGCGACATCCACCAGGTGCTCTTTGCTAATCGTTTAATTCGTTTTAAAATTCCTTTTCGAGACTTTTTTTAACAAGATATTGGTATGTTCCATGTGATACTGCTCTTTTGAACACACATAGACCAAAAAATGAGCGCCGAAATTTCGTTGTAGTATCCCTTTAAAGGGATACTTCAACGAAATTTGAAATATTCCTGTCGTGTTCAAAAAAAGGTTGAATATGATCCACAATATCCGTAAATGACAATCGCACGTTTGTATTTTAGCCTGGTGGCTGTATTTTTCGTTATAAACGGACCACTCTGGCAAGCGCTCGGAGAAGGCCTGCGGAGATCACGTGACATCCAACGCAATCATGACGTAGGTCGTCTCAAGACGAGCAAAGCTACGGCGAGGCTGACGTCGAGAGGATGGCCTAGTCGTTCCAGCCACCGAAGCGGCTGCTTTTGTACGAACTTTGAGTGACGGGTTAATCTTCTATAATCTTGTAGGGGGACAATAGCGACTTCTGCGACACACAAAAGGCATTCTCGGGAAGAGGGGAATTCCTCCTGCCCCTCTTCTCTCGTCGTGGCCGGAGACGAGACAACCTCCGTCACTAGCTGTCAGGGTTCCTAGACGGGCTTTTCAAGCGAGGCGTTAGCGACATTCACCAGGTGCTCTTCGCTAATCGTTTAATTCGTTTTTATATTCCTTTTCGTGACTTTCTTAACAAGATATTGGTATGTTCGATGTGATGCTGCTTTTTGAACACATATAGACCTTTCCAAAAAGAGCGCTCTGGCCGCCGCCATTTTGCGAATCGAGCGACCCCTATCAGCCAGAAATTTCTGGCGCCCGCCTGAGCTGTGGAAACCCGGTCAGCGTGACTCCCCACCTGCATTTTGCATTCGGAGTTCGCCGGCTTTTCTTGGAAGTTTTTATTTTATTCGCCTGTTTAGGATGCTTACCCTTTGTATGTCATGTTCCACTGTGAGAACCAGGGAATACCAGGGCTCGTAGCCTGCTCGGCCTTCGCAGGAAACGAACGAAGAGAGCGAACGTCAAGCAGCCCGCGACGCAGGCAGTTCGACGTGCTTGGAGGATTATTTCCGTCAAGATAATCTCCAAAAAGCCTTCCAGGCTGTGTTCCGGGTCTTCGCAAAAACTAGCTGTTATGGTCGGGTCCGGGGAGTGGCGACATAATAAGCACGTTCGTTCATTTGCTATGAAGCTGTGCAAAAAAGGAGCTATCTTTTACATGTTCCCCAAAGACACGCCGGATTCCGTCCGATCGTTGTGAAGTGACTGTCGTCGACACTGAATATTGGACATGCTGTGTTATTTGAGACCTTTCTCCAATCCTGTTTGGATAACGTGGCACCGAGGGGTACGTACAATATATTTTTTGTTCGATTGATGAGACTCATTGAATTTTATGTTGTGGGCGGGGAATATCCATGCAGTACGGATATCCTGTGTGGTCAAATATTTTGATCTTTATAAATTGACACGGCTGAGTTTACGGTGCCGTAAAACAATGAACATAAAATGAAACAAACATTCCAGTTGCATTTGTTCTGTCGCGCACGGACTCACCAAAACAGCTTTCATTTCTTTGTTTTTGTTTCCCAAAAATAGAGCACTGCTTTCTTAAAGACCTCTATAAATTATGCTCACCACAGAACACAAAATAGAAAAGAAAACGCGGCAATTCAGCCGCCACCAGCGTCCGGAATTGCGCCCAACGCAGGCTGCCACAGCCTACTGACGAGAAACTCCACAGCTCAGCGCAGTCGGGCAACACTGACGTACACTCTCAAAACCAGGAACACGCGCTGTAACTCGCTTCGTTCGAGACTGCCGCTGGAAAGGTCTATAGACCAAAAAATGAGCGCCGAAATTTCGTTGTAGTATCCCTTTAAAGTCTTCTTCATCCTCACCACTTTGTTCGCCTGACGACGCTTTTTCTATAGTTGATGTTCGCATAAGTTCGTTCTTTAGATAATCCCAGGCCCGCTTCCGTTCCACTTCGTTGTCTATCCATGCAACCTTAAATTTTGGATGGCATACGGCAGATATTATCAAATGTTTTTCTTCCTCCATACCTGCAGACCACTTATTGATCGCCGTGATGAAGCTTTCGACCACCGGGCGGCAGTATCTCAAGTTCTCCGTCAGCAACGCGGACATTTTTTGTGAAGTGAAGTCACTGTAGGCAGGAGATATGCCATAAACATGCTGTTTTTGCGCAAGTTATAGCTTGTGCGAGAGGTGTAAACACCTGAATATACTCATTGATAAAGTCAATGTCTGACTTCGTGAATCGCGGAATTTTAAAATTCTCACAAACTTCCTTCAACTTTCCCTCGCTGTGAACAAGCACTCCGTGAAGCGATTTGAGGCAATCGTATGTAGAGTTTCACCGCATGAGGACAGGCGTGGGCAAATATCCTTCACAGCTTGAAGAGATGGCGTCAGCAACCACATTAGACCTCGCTTGCTTCTTCCATAATGCCGAGCACTTGCTGAAAGGATCGGAGTTGAGTCCTCACGTGCCTTACTCTCACGCTCCAACTGGCTCACCGAGGACACAGCTTCCACTGTTTACGACGTCCCGCTCAAACTCGCTTGTTGACGTGGCTTGCCCTTCAGCGCCAGCACTGGCATCGAAGCCATCGGCGGGCCCAGAAGACGTCGGCCGCATGGAGAAACGAAGAGTCGAGTGGACACGCACCTAACCTTCGCAACGCAACGACGAGCGAAAGTCTTCAAGCTTTCACGTTTTTTCTTTCGTTTTTAGGAAGAGAATATTTTAACGCGAGCGCGTTTACGAGCTCGGGTCACAGAAAATCCGTCGGATGTCGGTGGCGTGACGGGAAATTCCTGAATGGTCGATAGGGTCGTGACGTCACAGCCACATGACTTCGCGCGGGAATTTCAAACAACTCATGTGAAACGTGACGTCACGCGTGGAATGAGGGTGGTTAAAGACATACGAATTAATGGTCGCCGCATGTTTCAAATGATCCCACTTGATAAACTAATTCATTTGCCTTAAAGAAAAAATGTGAAGAATTTACGCAGGATCGCACTCACGACCCTTCGGTTGCGAGCCAGACATGCTACCGACTAGGCAACGGGGGCTTGGGAATGGCACTGCGATCCTGCCGTCATTAGAGAGCCTCGATGTCTGTCTGTGTCATGGTAAAGGCATTATCGCATCCAGTGTTGTTAGCGCATGCCGAGCAAACACATAAATAAACCCTGCGGGGTAAAATGGCATCAAAGCACTGGCAAAAGCTCCTCGATCGCGCCGGGAGTGTTGTATCATAGGAACTAGGTCGTTGTGTGACTCAAGAGAATGAGAAGCGATTGAGAAGGCCATGCGAACGGGGCCCGATAAACCTATCGCGTTCAACTCTTAAAGGCGAAGGTTAATCGTCCTCCCATTTTTTTTTCTTCACAAACATTTTCAGTTTTGTAAAGTGCGAAATTTGAGTTCGATTTATTGCGTGGAAACACGACGTGAACTTAAATTGCTTGACGACTGTAATTATAATTAATTTTCAGTTATATGTTATATTGTATTTTCTACGATTTTGACGAAGTGAATAGAAAAGTACCTGTAAAAAGTAACTTCACTTAGTTACTGGAAAATGTACCTAAAATACAGATACAAATACTGAGAAATGAAAGCACCTAGGTTTGTACCTCAGGTACAACAAAAGTACCTAGATACCGATTTACAGTTACTTGTACCTAGGTACTTTACAACCCTGGAAGTGATTGAAAAAAAAAGTAACTAGTTACCTGTAACACGTTGTAACTAGTTACTGCCCAAGACTGCTAACGTGTCGTTAAACGACGTCAACTCCGAAGAAATTCTTTACAACCGTCAAAGCAGCGACAGTTAGCCTAGTTGTGTTGCACACTAATTCCCACTCCCCTACCCTCAGAGACATTCGTGTTGCATATAATCCTTGTTTTCAGCATTTGTAAATAAATAGTTACAAACACAAATACACACAAGCACTAGCAGAAAGCACCAAAACAGAACCTTGAAATCTAAGCTAGGTCCAAGAGATGGACATAGTCAGCAGTGACATTGTGCTCGAGTTCAGTGTGGAGAAATTTGGGTTGAGAATTGTTTTACAACAGCTTGATAGCTAAATAATAAAGAATGGTCCACATTTGCTTGATATGTAGCAAACCAAATCGCTCATGAGGATTAGAACTTCGACAATAGATCTTGGAAAATTTATGTGCCACAAGGATACAACTTCAAAAACACTAAATTGGTCCTTTTAAGCTCCCACAGTATGTCCCATAAAAAAACAATTGAAGCGTCTCATGATCCTTCTAAAAGTGTGGTTTTTAAATGGCACTTTATTCCATTTTCAAATGAGATACCTAAAATTTAATGCTACTTTTCAGTGTCAGTTGCTACGTCTTCTTTGCAGGCTCTGTTAAGGACCTGGAAAAGGAAACAAAGAAATGCCTTCTTCACTGGGACAAAAACGCAAAATTTCATGGTTTGTTTTTAAACAAACAAAATAGAAATGTCATCTTACGCAAGGTCTTTGAAGGACACATCCTGAGATCCCCTCGGGGCAGGTTTCGCCTGTAAAAACAGAAAGGTCCAAAAAATACTCCAGTACGACAGCGTTACGATCTGTCCATTTCTTTAATAGAACAATAAGTCTGTGCTAAAAAGCACAAAACCAAAATTTCAGGTCACATTGAGCTTATGAATGTTTCTAGACAGGAGAGAGAGATGAGAAATGTAATGGACAGCTGGACAGCACATAAAAAATGTATTATATCTGACATAAAGTATGGAATCTTGGGCAGTACCATTTGTTACAAAAACTATGCCCATCACACAATAACATGCCCATCCGATCATTCTAAGCAAGTTCAGTGCAAGAATTATTGAAATTGACAATACTATATCGATAAGCATCCTGCAGGAAATAAGTTAGCCACGATCCACAATATCTGTTAACGACAATCATACACTTGCATTTTTTGAATGGATGGCTGTTTCTTTCATTCTAGACGACCGATTCTGGCAAGCGCTCGAAGAGCAGCCATTAGAGAGTGTGATCAGTCTCGGGAGATCCGGCCCCTCCAGTGGATTCGTGACATTGCTTTTTTGTTCATGGGCAAGGCTGCGGCGAGGCTGGCATGGTTATGAGCATCGCCACTTGGTAGCGCCACAACTGACACCGACTGCACCAGTTGTTCGAGATGCCCGAGGACCGGTTCGGCAACACAAGTATAGGTACGAGCGGAGGATGAGCGAGTGACCAGCGCCCCGAAACTACACCGACCTCCTCCTGCTTTCTCTGATCCTCTCTCCCAGTTTTCCTTTCTGTTTAGAGTTGAATAGGCGTAGGAGATCCCCATCTTCCTTTTTCGTCCCCAGCCGCAGGAGTTAAATGGGTGAAGGAGAGAAGGGAAATCCGGTTCGACCAACTTTGACAGGCTATGTGCGCTCGGAGCTTGGCGCCATACTTCCGCAAAGTGGCGGTGCTTTCTGGGAACGATTGACGTAACGACGTACCAGGTGGCTTTGGGAACGTGCACCAGGTGCAATTTGGTAATTGTTTCATTCGTTTTAAAAAAAGTTTTCGGTGTATTTTTAAACAATAAATTGATATTTGTGTGGTGGTGCGAGACCACAGCTGACATCTAGTCAGTAACATAAGCACTAGAATTTTGTTTTACTACCCCTTTAGAAGAGCTATGAAATGAGGAAATAAATCATTTTTTAAAGGTTAAATGGGAAATGCATATTACAAAAAAAAAACCTAACGAAAAAAAAAACTTTTAGCGCAATATTAACGATGGTAGGTGCAATTTAGGTTGAGTTCAGCACCTGCTCCAGGCTCTGCCCAATGAACGGTGGCCCCTCCCCCTACTACTGGATTGGCTTGGCTACTCAGCCAAGCCAATCCAGTTCACAAGCTTAATGCCTCCCTGTCGCGACGTCCGGTGCATCTCGTCTGCCATCTGAGACAGCCTGCTAGTCGTACGGGCACACACGGCACCATACCGCAGGTGTCAGCATGGCTACGGGCCAGCCCGCGCGCCACAGGCTGGGCTTCACGCTTGCAATTATGGAGGTCCCGGGCCGAGCACAGGCCTTGCATTCCAGTCTACAGGGCAAACCAAAACAAACCAAACACACTATTTTTTTAGTACAAATGTTTTTAAATTTTGTTTGGGGACGGTTAGGGGAGACGTTGGAGTGGGGGAGGCCCAAATGCTGAAAGCATGTGTGTGCGTTTTTTTTAGAGCACAGCTCTTGGGCGTTTGTTTCCGGCTTGAACGGTGTAGCCGTAACCGTGCGGTGCATTATGGGATGTGTGACGTCACATGTGATGTAACACATGACGTCATCAGTGACGATGACGTCACAAGGACTACCAGTGACGTCATCATGATGACGTCATCGTCATTGTCACTGATGACGTCATCAGTCACGTCACGTGTGACATCATTGGCAGAAAAAATTCCCTGCTAAATCTAGCGGAAAGAATTTCCCCACTAAATCTAACGGAAAAAAATTCCGCACTAAATTTAGCAGAAAAATTTCCCTGCTAAATCTACCGGAAAACATTTCTCCGCTAAATTTAGCGGAAAAAATTTACCCGCGTAATTTAGCGGAAAAAATTTCCCTGCTAAATCTAGTGGAAAAAATTCCCCGCTAAAGTTAGGGGAAAAAATTGCAACGCTAAATTCCCGCCAAATTTACACGCGATGCTCTCACCAAAGATGTGCATTTTTTTGCAACTTGCGTTAAGCACACGTCGATCCACACCCATGTTAGTAATGGGGGACTTTCCACCTTCTCCGCTCAGTACCCTTCCCTCCTCCTCCTCAAGAGCTGCACTCTAATTCGGCATTACAAAGGATTTTAAACGTCTTTCATTTAATGGTTCGGAGTATGTGCACCGACTGCTGCTTCGGAGCACCAGTGGCACGGCGTTCACTTTCGTCGCCGCCGTTGTACGGTTGCTTCTCCTCATCAAGCGCGTACACATATGCGCAGTGGCCGTGGTGGAAGAAACACATTAGGTGATGACTCTACGTCTGACGCGGCGGCCACATTACGTTTGGGCACCGAGCACGCTTCACTCGCACGGGGATAGATGGCGCCCAAGTATGGGGTCCCTCCTAAGCCGTGTTTCTTCCACCACTGCTCCAGGCGAGCATCATTCTATGGAGCTTTAAACAAGGGTACGTGCCCTGCACAGTTCCAGTACCCCGAATTGCAGTTGGGAACGAAGCACTTCTTTCCCATCCTTAGAGCCTGGCTTCTTCTTCTTCGGGCTAAGGCTCACCTTCGTGCAAGATGGCGACATCTGTGGTCGACACAGCACCAAAGCAAAACACGAGGCCAGCCACTGGCCACACACCACCACCACACCGCGAAAAAGGCGAGCACGATACGCTGCCGATCCTGTGGCCACCGAGGAGGCGCCCCATATCGCAGCGCACTCCGCGGCGACGTGGAACTAACTAGTCCTATTTCGAGGCTAGCTCCGAACGCGATCTGTTCGCACGCTCCGTGCAAAAAGAGTGGCAAGTAGCAACATCTAAATATGTTTCCTCCACCGTGGCAGTGGCGTAGTAACAGGGTGAGGGAGGGGGGGGGGGGAGGGGCTTTGGGCCCTGGGTACCAGGCGTCCTAGTCATGTGGGGGGGGGGGGTACCACCTCTGGTGGCATCCGGTCCCTCCCCCCCTTCCCTTCCCGCTTTACTAGTTGCTCTCTTGGGGAGTGAATGGGGGGGGGGGGGGGGGGGCTACAAAAGACCTAAGGGCCACAGGTGCCAGATGGGCTAGCTATGATACCCTCGAAGGTGTAAGTCATCTGTACGTACAAGTGCGTGCATTCACAGTGGCGTACCAACTTGTTTTTGAGTGGGGGGGCAAACCAGACCCTCTCCCCCCCCCCCCCCAAATCGAAAATTCGGCGCAACTTTTGTCCAACTTTTCTAAAGATTTGGCAATGATTCGGCAAAATTACAACGTTACCAGACTTAACATTGATATTTTGTTTTTTCTCACGAAAAAAATTTTGCTTCTTCTTTTTAAAATAAATACAACTTGTAGTGCCTATTGAAAGAGTTATGACTAAATAAGGTGATATTCTAGAAGATAATTGTATCGATGTCGCTTTTGTGTGTTTACTTGTAATTTTGGTGTATGCTTCCAGAAAGTGGCGTGACAACGAGGTTGGGTAGTAGCCGGCACAGTCACGAATCACACTACGAGAGCTTTGATTTCGAGGCTTCATCAGCGCACGCCTGCAAGTGTGTTTACATTGTTAAAATAAAGGCAATCACTGCGTTCTTACTTTCTCTGGTAGTCGCCGTTTCGTGCGCGAAAACGGATGCAACGGTTGCTGAGCCTTCACCAGAAGAGATAACAATATTGTAAATATGCATGTTTTTCGATTTGAGTCACTTGACGTCAGCTTTGCATGAAAGTGCGCGTTCCATATTCGCAACGTGCCGTTTTTAACCTTTAAAATTCCGGTTTCTGGTGTTCGGACACACACGGACGTTTAGGAAGATGGGGAGAGTTAGGAGTGGTCGGATGTGCAACGTCGACCATGATAGTTCTGTGTTTAATGAATATTTTTCATCAGTGTTTACTAACGAGTGCTTGGACTCCGTCCCCACTCTCCCTGAAGAGCTTTACGAGCGCATGCATCCTATTAACGTTAACTCCGCCGGTATTATAACATTGATTGATAAACTAAAACTTACTTCGTCCGCTGGAACCGATAACATCAACTCTAAAATTTAAAAGAAACACCAGTGTTATTTCGAGTGAGTATTTAAAACTTATCTTTATTCAGTCCTTATCTCAAAGGTGCCTTCCATCTGACCAAAAGGTGGGAAGGGTAATTCCCAGTCTTTAAACAGGGCAGCCGCTCTTCCGCATCTAATTATCGCCCTAATTCATTGACTTCAATTTCTTGCAAACTACTTGAGCATGTCCTCTACTCCAATATCATGAGGCACCTATCATCCCATTTCTTTTCTTTAAACAGCAGCACGGTTTTCAAAAAGGTACACTCTCCGGCAATATGAAAGACCCACTGGGAGCGCGTGGCCGAGGCGGTGGCTGGCGGGGGCGCTGCGAGCCCTCCGGGCAATTCCATTCTGCTTCGAGGGGAGGACGCTCACTCGGGCTCAGATAAAGCGAAACGCGCTTATCAGTTTGTGCCGAGTGCCGAATGAGCGTCCTCCCCTCGAAGCAGAATGGAACTGCCCGGAGCGCTCGCAGCGCCCCCCCCCAGCCACCGCCTCGGCCACGCGCTCCCAGTGGGTCTTTCATATCGCCGGAGACTGTACTTTCCTGCGAAACACAACTCTGCGACTTCATCCATGACTTGCACACTAACCTTGAACCTTGAACCTTGAACCTTAAAATGAAAAAACTGACGCAGTTTTTTTTTTTTTTTCCAAAGCGTTCGGCCGTGTTTTTTATCAACGCCTTCTTTCTAAGCTATCATCTTTTTGCCTCGACCAAATAACCGTTTGCATAGATTCGTGACTTTCTTTTTTCCCGTGTACAGGTCACGTCCATGATGATCATGAATCTTCCTTAATAAATGTATCTCCTGGTGTTCCCCTGGGGTTCGTACTTGGGCCCTTACTCTTTTTAATATTTATTAATGACATCCCCATTGGGATTTCTTCAAAAAACCGCTTTTTCGCCGACGACTGCGTCATCCATAACAAAGTAACTTGTGTGCAAAATAATAACCAGCTTCAGGAAGATCTAGAGAAAATTAACAATTGGTGCAAAGAGTGGATTATGTCATTAAACAAGTATAAACGCAAACTAATCCACTTCACCAAGAAAAAAAACAAACACTGTCATTTAATTACTTCTTGTATTCCGATCTGATTGAGACCGCTACTGTGTATAAATACCTTGGTGTAAGACTAACATCTGACCTTCCCTAAAATAACCACATTGAAGTCATTACTGCCGATTCATCTGGAACTCTTGGACTAAGCAGACGTAACTTAAAAAGAGCTCCACCCTTTGTTCGTAAGCTAACCTTGGACACGTACGTCAGACCAAAAATAGAATATGCTTCAACCATCTGGAATACCCATCGACTGTACCTCATCAATACCCTGTAGAGGCAGTTCAGAACAGAGCTGCTCGCTTCATTTCATCCACTTATGACTTTTTTTTTCAGTGTCTCAGCGCTAAAAACTGAACTAACCATGTCCTCTTTGCAGCTTCGCAGAAAAGTCTCTCAGCTGTGCTTTATTCACAAAATCTACTACCACATTCCCGACCTCAAAACCACTTTGTTATTACCCCCCGACCGAACATCTCGCCTCAACAACGTCTGCACCATCAAGCACATTTCTGACTCTACTAACGCTTTCAATTGGTCATTCCTTTCTCAAGCCATCAGCCACTGGAACAGTCCCCCATCCTCCATTGTCACCATCTTGGACCCTGCTGATTTCTCCTCTGCAGTAAAACTACACCTTTCTTGGCCCATGTGATGGTGTGCGGGGCTAGGCAGATAGGTGAAAACCCTTACGCAGAGCGCCTGCCGGGCCAGACTTGTACGTAGTTCAACTACTTTACTCAAGTTACTGTAGTTTAACTACTTTTCTGGGTAGTTTAGTAACTTTTGATTACATTTATATTCTAGTAATTCATAGTTTACTTTAACTACTTTTCCGAGTGACTTCCACTCAAATTACAAATTACTTTCTAATTTTAGTGGTTGTTTTGCCTATCAACACAGAAAAGATGTCGGAAGGTCAGCTGATATTTGCAGAGGGGGAAGCATGCGGAGTAGAAAAGGGGGGGATGGGAAGGAAGAAAGTGATTTAGATAGTCCAAGAAACCCCAAAATTTTAACGAGCCCCCCCACTGCAACAACACTGCTACGAGGCGCGGGGAGCGAACAGACACGACGCAAGAGAGGTCGAGTAACTGTGGGATTAGCTCCGAATAGTGGCGTTTCTTTGTATTCCGAAGCTCAAGGAGACTTGACGCATTTGAAGAAAGGGCTTGTCCCCGCTTCTCTCCAATGTAGGAATTCTTGCCCACTACAGGAGGTGCACACACTGCTCCTTTTACGGTGCAGGCGATAGAACCCCTAACAACGACGCTCACGCCGGATGGGCTGCTCGTGTATCACTCGAAGCGCGTTAACCCACCCCCGCGCCTGCGTTCACGCCGCTTCGCGGTGACGGTGTGCGGCTGCTAATTACAAATCTATTAACCCACCTAGCCCCCCCACCCCCCGTACACGCCGGCGTCCGGTCGGCAACCCAAGCCCCGCTGCCCCCCATGCACTTCCGTAAATAGAGTCGATACGATTTAGTTTAGCGATGTTTCGTCAACAACATTCGTTTTTTTAGTGTTAACGGTAAAAAAGAAATGTAAATATCGCCAAATGCCTCGACAAAACAAAATGTTCGAGAAAAAAAATAAAAAGAAGTAAGCCGGCCCACACCATAAATAGAACCCGGGTCTGACACGTATGAGGCAGACATCTCACCACTAAGTTACGCTACCTCTTCGGAAACTCGCATTGCATCCGCTGCCTATGTTGACGGCGGCAGCGCCTATCTCCAAGCAAGCAAGCAAAACTTTATTTTGTGTATGGGCCTACGTCCTGGTCTGGACGGCCCGTCCGGCCCATGTCTCGCGGATGGATTCCGTTAGGTTACCGTGTAGCCTTGTTCGTGGGGCAAGGCTCCACAAACCAGCCAATCCGGCGTGCGTGAGCACCGTTGCTAGGGTTTGTATCGCCTGCGCGTTAAAAATATGCCCGCGCGGGTCGGGGGGCAGTGCCCTTGGTATTCCTTGGGCGCCGCCGGCCTGTGTCTGCTCTGCCCAGTGGCGGCCGTTTCAGGGGGGGCAAAATGCATGCCTTGCCCCCCCACTCTGAGAACTGGGGGGGCAAGTGCCCCCCTTGCCCCCCCGGTTGGTACGCCCATGTGCATTCACAATATCAATGAAGAGAATCAACTACCGTCAAAGTAGTTTTCTCGGGAAAACAAAAATATTTTTGCGACCATTTTTTTTTTTTTTTTGGTTGTGCACAGAGGGAGTGGGCAAAATAAGTTTTGTTCGTCTTTTGACTGAACCTGTCGCGACCACTTCTCTTCCTTTTCAACTTTCGCAGATGGTTTTGCTTACCATTTTTATTTTCTGTCCCTTTCGGTATGCGGGTGTGGTCAAAAGAAAAGAGGATGAGGGTGGCCTTTTTTCTTTTAATGCATTGCCTAGAGCTGAAGAATGGTTCAACTCATAACAGCAGCAGGAAAAAATAGAATTCTTACTGCATTCACTATCACAAACCATAGTCAACATGCACAGCAGTGGCAAGCGAGCTTGCCATGCCATGCAACTTGTGAGCTCAGCTTCATATTGGGTCGAAATAGGGCAGGCTTCAGCGGGCCCATGAAAATTAGTGTCAATTAAGCCGTCAACTTGCCAGGCCAAGCCAAGCCACACCAAGCAAGGCAGCACACCAGTGCGAGCTATGGCTAAGAGTGGGAAGTTGCGGAAGCAATCAACAGCATAAGCGTGCGGTGCGCAGCCAACAAAATTGGGGTTGAGGGATTGCCCGGTCTTCGAACATGTTTCCTTTGTAGGATATATTAATGTCAACGAACATGCCATGGCCTGTGGTCCATTTTCAGAAGGTGAAATCAAGAAGGTGGTAAGTCCTAAGCACGGTCACATCAGCTTTTGTGCCAAGTGTCGCTGACACAAAAACTGTGTTGAGCGTCAAAGGGCGCTTTTTCGTCGGCGAAAACAATGCCAAAGTTCTGTTTTAACATGCTGGTGCTCTCGGTTAGCTCGGCAAACAACGAACATCGAACTCAGCGGTCGAACCAAGCATTAAGGGCCCACCCGACCGTGTGCTCCTTCTGCATTTTCGCTCTTGGACCTAGCAATAGCGCTCATGCCCCGATTTTTTACGATTACCTCCCAATTATGAGTGGGCGTTCACCCAGATATTTTATGGCATGTGAATACAGTACATTGTATAAGGTCACCAATGTCATTTATTGGTTAGATTTAGATGACAAAGACTATTTTGATGCGTGGTCTATTGTTGTATTTTGGGGGCTTGGGCCCAGTAAAGCTGTTTGTGACAGTTTTTTCCTCCTGTCTACACCAACATTTTTTTTTTTAAATAAAGGATTTATTAATATTATTATTATTATTGACTAAGAGAGACAGACATACCTGAGAGGGATGTGGTTTCCAGCCAATAAATGAAAGAATGTGAAAGGTGGCTGGCACGGTCCCGTCATCCTTCCCGTACAACTCTGCAAACAGAGAACGTCAATAATTATAACGCATACCAACGAGAAACACGAGAGTGATGAAATGTGCAACTTTATTTTCCTTTCGCTGCTTTCGCTGCTCGTCAGCACGCTCCCTCCTGCCATCCATTGGCTATCACTGGCCTCCTCCTGGCCTTCATGTTTTGTCCAATTTCTTACGCAAAAGTTTCCACACCACTCGCAAAATTTTGGGCAATATCAGCAGTCTTGGGTAAGTTACAGTTACTTTCAGAAAAAGTAGCGAAGTTACCGTTACAGTTACCGCAACAAAAAGTAACTTGTTACAGTTACTTTTAAAAGTAACGACGTTACTTTTCAGTTACTTTTCTATAACACAAAAAAAAAACTAGGAAAAACTAGAAAATGCTTTTCACCAAGTTTATTTGCATAAAATTAAAAAAAGTGTGCTTTTTACTTCATATTGTAACTTAGCAGCAGTTGCTTCTCAAAATTAGTGTCTGAAAGTTTCCCTTGTTTGATAACGAACACGTCCCTGCCTCAGCTGAATAGGCGCTCGTCTAACGCGCTGGATGGGATTGCTGTGTTGTTTCGCCGGAACAGGCTTTTGATTGCCGGGTAGGCGTGGAGGCAATATAATGTCGTTTTCTGCGGTCAAGTTGTTAGTAACCATCTCCACCACAGCAAAATACTCTCTGTACGACGGCCAAGGTAGTTCTTCGTTTTTATCAACATTCATATCCTTGGTAGCACTAGCACATTACTGGCTCGTTGACGGTTGCTTTGGGTTCATAGAGTCCCTGGACATATTTCAATTCGTACCCGGCAAGCCAGAAGCAAACCCCGCGCAAACAGCAGTAAACTTTGCCTCGACTGTTGAAAATACACCGGAGTAGTGGCGCAAATCAAAATACGAAACATGCGCAGTGCCCTCCGCGTGTATCGGAGATTCATGTTTGATTCACCCAATTAAAAAGCGTTTGCGCAGAAAAAAGAAAAACCGCAAAAGAGATAGTTTTTTAAGATACCAAGATGTAAGTGTTCAGTCAGGGCGTGCTAAAGATAACTACATTTTTTTTTTCCCCAAATCTGCACGTGGCTATATTCAGGTCGTGACTGGCGAGAAAGAACGTATTCACAAGTTTGTATAAAAAATAAATTGACACTCGAAATGTCGGAACAGATAATTTGTAAAGCGCAAAGAATGGCTAAATTGTACTCGTTCAGTGATATATTATTCATAAAAAACTGGAAAGTAACGACAAAAGGAACGTCGTTATTTTCATCGTTACCTCAAAAAAAGTAATAGAACTACAGTTACAAGTTACATTTTCAAAAAGTAACTCGTTACAGTTACAAGTTACCAAAAAAGTAAGGAAATTTCAGTAACGCGTTACTAGTAACGCGTTACTACCCAAGACTGAACATCAGGCTTCAGCATTTTTAAGAGGAAAAGCTAGCGTAATAAATCTAATTAACGTAGCAAAAGCGATGGTCTGGCACGAACCCAGAAATATTTTGGGATTGCTGCGCTCCAAAACATTTAAATTAGCACGAGAAACATTGAATATTTAGTTTTATATATATTTATAGTAAACAACAACTCTAACAAAGTCCTTGTGTCAATGTAGTCTTCCGTAATTGATGCCTTAAAAACTGTGCAAGCTATGTACAACCTTAGCAATCTACAAAAAATTCCAATGAACTCGGTGAACTTCAGAAGAATGCGCGTGGTCACATGAAGCATCACAGTGGAAGGGTTAAGGCCCACTGCTTTTCAATTTCTACCACAAAATGCGGCAAAGGTCGATCAATTATTTATCCCAACACCAGCTGGGATAAAGCCTCTCTCCTTTTCCACTTTTACATCCAGTAGTTTATTTAGCCTGAAAACATAATTTCTGTAAAATGCCAGCAAAAAGCAGCCTATCCGAAAACACTTTCTATCAATAACAATGCATCCCAGCAAGTTTTATGATCCTACCAAACTCGAGACCCCATATGATAAACTGCAAAAACCACCACCCATGAATAGTGTGAAAACCTACACTTGTGCTTTAAAAGCGACACTGCTCTTTAGCAGCATTAGAACTAGGATGATAAGTCAAATTTCACTGCTCTTCCAATCGACAGCTGTACGGGAGCAACCTTGACCGTATTCATTCAACTATAAACTGCACTTTTTTTATTTTATGCTCTTTTTCGACGCAGCTTTTTAAAATTAGAGATCAACCTATGATCAAGAATGGAAGGCCAGGAGACGCATAGTGCGGTTGGACAAACAAGACGTAGAATAAGCAAATAAACACTTTACGCTGATAAACAGAAGCTGCCGCAACCATAGAGTCTCTGTGCAAGTGGGACTTGCGCTTCCATGATGCATTGTTCTCTGCCATGCCTGCGTAAAGAGAACCAATCACGACGTGTATCTTATTTTTTAGGGTGCACACTATTTTAGGCGGAGTTGTACCCGCACTACCGAGGCCCACCTTTAAGGTCCGCCATGAGGTGAAATGCAGTCGGGTAGTTCACCACAAGCTCGTCAGAATCCTGCAGGGTGTAGAACATGGATGAGTAAGTTCAACGACCGCAAAATGTTAAGGGCTTGAGATTCGTCAGACAATGAGCTTGAGGGATAAATACCTCAGCAAAAGAGTAAAAATTAATTTAGACCGCTCAAGAACCCCTGCCATGCAACTGAAATCTCGGATAGACTAGGTTCGCCTCAAAAAGCTCCAAGCTGTATCATTACATCGGGGTGACGTCATTACATCGGGGTGACGAAAACGTCGGGGTGACAAATGAGCAGTGTTCACTGAGTATGAAACTGAGTGCAAGTATAAGCAGCCGTTTCATCAAACCTTTTACTTAAAAAGCTTCTTGATGAAAGTTAAGAATGATAAATGCGACACGTAAAAATACTTTCATGGCAACTTACAGTTTGTCCAACAATTTCATTCATAACATTACTAATTAATCCTATAAATGAATAGCAGTCAAGTGTGCTTTATAGGTATTTCTTTTACTTAGAAATATACCCACTGCACTGTTAGGCATCACACAGGGGTGAACATCTTGCAAATATCCAAAACAGATACTACACACAAACGAGCAAAAAACATGGTTTACTTTATAATGGATCTCTGTAATATATCATCAAAAAGATAGTTTGACCAAACTGATGCAGTGTTAGAGGTGGACAACATACAAGGGTCAGCATGGTGAATCCAGCCTGGTGCAAGAGGCCACCCAAGTCCTGTGGCTGCACGAAGGGCGAGACGTGTGCACCGAAGCCCTGCAGTGCAAGTTTGCTTCCTTGAGTCATTGAAATGTTCATTAAAGGGATACTTTAACGGAATATACCCGTCATGTTCAGAAAGAGGCTGAATATGATCCAGAATATTCGTAAATGACAATCGCACGTTTGTATTTGGAGCCTAATGGCTGTATTTTTCGTTATAGACGACCCACTCTGGCAAGCGCTCGGAGAAGGCCCAGCGGAGACCACGTGACTTCCAACGCAATCGTGACATAGATTGTCTCGGGACGAGCAAAGCTACGGCGAGGCTGACGTTGATAGGATGTCCTAGCCGTTCCAGCCACCGAAGCAGCCGAAGCATGCCAGTGATTGGGCCTCCACAACTAACCCTAAAGCTGCTTTGGTATGAATTTTGAGTGACGGGTTAATGTTCCATAATCTTGTAGAGGGACAATAGCGACGTCTGAGACACACAAAAAAGAGTCCCGGTGATTTCTCTCGTGGTGGCCGGAGAGCTGGCTGGATGACGTCAGGTTCAAGGCCCGAAATAGTCACCACCTGTTAAGGTTCCTAGACGGACATTACAAACGAGGCTTTAGCGACATCCACCAGGCACCCTTTGCTAATAATTTAATTCCTTTTAAAATTCCTTTTCGAGTCTCTTTCAATGAGAGATTGGTGCGTCTGATGTGATGCCGCTCCCGTGAACATGAATAGACCAAGAAATAAGCGCCGAAATTTCGTTGTAGTATTTCTCGAAAGGCCAACCCGCAACACAAACGAAATAGTTCTAGGCGCACTAAACTGATACTGTACAGGTCCCCCCATATAAAGTCACTTTCCCCGCTAAATATAGCAGGAAAACGGAATTGGTGCACGAGTCATGTGACGTCAATTTCCCCGTTAAATTTAGCGGGGAAACTGAATTGGTGAATAGGACACGTGATGTCAATTACCCGCTATATTTGGTGGCGAAAAACACGAACGGATAGACGGACGAATGGACGAAACATTTGAGGATTAGGAGGTTCTGTTAACAAGAACTTCTTTTCTTTAATAAGCACCTAAATATCTGCAGCCAACATACCATAACACCCCAAGAGATAATCCACCTAACAGCGAGAGAAAGCCAGGTGATAATAAGGTGTGGGGCTGGTGTGCAATCAAGAAAAATGATAAAAGTGCTATTTTTGTATTTTGCAACCTGCCAAACCTGTTTTCACACTGAGGGGCAATGAAGCATAGACAATCGTCGTTCCTATACCCGTTTTCAACTCAAGAACTGTAGTAAAAAAAGTCCGGCTCCTCGCGGAGAATTACTGATTTCCTCCTTTGTGTAGGGAATTAAGACATATGTAGGTGACTTATAGGATAGATGTATGCTATCTTATCAAGACGTACACGTTCCGAAGTCGCTTTTGCCTCCAACAACTAAATCGCGTAAGAATTACTTCGCACAGCATTTGAACAATGTGCAAAACTTGCTTTTTTTTCTTGAGGTAAAAACAAGTACGGTCAGCAATGTTTCCTTATCTTCCGCTGTAGCAACCCAACACCATTTCGGCCGAGGCCACGATTGGCCAGGGCACCACAATTACTAAAATCGGCTACCTATCGGCGTTTAAAAAAAAAATTAACAAATCATATAAAAAATAGGGTGGGTTATCCATCGAAGGGGGGGCACTTTCACAATGTTACGGTATATGTCATCAGAATTGGTTTTGGGACCGAAAAGACTTGCGACTTCAACGAGAGTCGACGACATCCCGGATGCTTGGCAACAGCTCGGGACACCAGAGTCGTTCCTCACCCCTTCGCGTTCCGTCTCGGCCAGTTGCAGGGCCCCGCGCAGCTGGTACAGTGTCTCGCCTCCAAAGACGCAACCCAGGAACACCCCGTCGGGCTTCAGGGCCGTCTGGACCTGAGAACCAAAAAGCGCCAGCCGTTGGAGGCACCACAAAGCAGGACCGCAGCCCTGACCGACGCCACATGAGGAATGGCGCCACGTCTGCACGTTGTTCACACTGCGGCACCCACAACGTGTCCCCAACCAGTGCGTCCACGCGTCGCAAACGGACCCAAAGTGGCCACAAACGACGCCACAAAAGCCGGGGTGTCGTGCCGTCGGATGTCGCAATCCTAGCACACTGTACTGCCAAGTCACCAGCAGGCAACTTGGCAGTACGTTGCGACAGGTGCAATTGTAACCGCACGTTAAAGAAAACGACGCGTTTAGGCCGTCGCAGTCAAAGAATGACTAGAGAAATATTCAAGGTTTTTCTTTTTTTCATTTCGAAGCACAAAGACAGATGCGTCGGTGCGGCGTTGATGGCATCGTCTGACAAAAAGTTGGCATCCTTCAGCGGGTCTGACAGGTGGCGGGGACAGAAAACTGGACGCATTTCATGGTTTGCGTTTCATGTCAACTCGTGTTTCTTCCAAATAAACCAGATGATAGTCGGATGAGAGTTGTTCCACTCTTAAAGGCTAAGCTTAAGCGTCCTCCAAGTTTTTCTTTCTCAACCACCCTATTGGTAGGAATTTGTTAAAGTCTTCGCTAAAACTGCTGGTTTTTGAGAAATTCTAAAAATTCTTCACCTCTCCAACTAAAAAAAAAAATTACCTTACAATACTGGACAAAAACCAGTCTTGGGTAAGTTACTTTTGAAAAGTAATTCGTTACAGTTACTTTCAGAAAAAAGTAGCGAAGTTACCGTTAGTTACCGCAACAAAAAGGAACTCGTTACAGTTACCTTTAAAAAGTAACGACGTTACTTTTCAGTTACTTTTCTATAACACAAAAAAAATTAGAAAAAACTAGAAAACGCTTTTCATCAAGTTTATTTGCATAAAATTAAAAAGTGTGCTTTTTACTTCATATTGTAACTTAGCACCAGTTACTTCTCAAATTTAGTGTCTGAAAGTTTCCCTTGTTTGATAACGAACACGTCCCTGCCCTTGCTGAACAGGCGCTCGTCTAACGCGCTGGATGGGATTGCTGTGTTGTTTCGCCGGAACAGGTTTTTGATTGCCGGGTAGGCGTTGAGGCAACAGAGTGCCGTTTTCTGCGGTCAAGTTGTTAGTAACCACCTCCACCACAGCAAAATACTCTCTGTATGCCAGCCATGGTAGTTCTTCTTTGTTCTTACCAACATTCATATCCTTGGTAGCACTAGCACATTGCTGGCTCGTTGACGGTTGCACTGGGTTCATAGAGCCCATGGACATATTTCAGTTCGTACCCGGCAAGCCAGAAACAAACCCCGCACAAACAGCAGTAAATTTTGCCTCGACTGTTGACACTACACCGGAGTAGTGGCGCAAATCAAAGTACGAAACATGCACAGTGCGGAGTGGTGGCACTAATCAAAATACGAAACATTCGCAGGGCCCTCCGAGTGTATTGGAGATTCATGTTTGATTCACCCGATTGAAAAGCGTTTGCGCAGAAAAAAGAAAAACCGCAAAAGAGATAGTTCTTCAAGATACTAAGATGTAAGTGTTCAGTCACGAAGTATAAGCGCGTGCTAAACATAACTAAATTTTTTTTTTTTCACCAGATCTACACGTGGCTATATTTGGGTCGTGACTGGCGAGAAAGACTGTATTCGCAGGTTTGTGTAAAAACTAACTTGACACTCGAAATGTCGGAAAAGACAATTTGGAAAGTGCAAAGAATGGCTAAATTGTACTCCTTCAGTGATATATCCATAAAAAACTGGAAAGTAATGACAAAAGTAACGTTGTTACTTTCATCGTTACCTCAGAAAAAGTAATAGAACTACAGTTACAAGTTACCAAAAAAGTAACGAAATTACAGTAACGCGTTATAACTAGGGTGTGTACTTTCCGGTGTTTATTTGTGGGAAAAATCGGCGGATGTTTTTCGGTGTTGATTTATTTTCGAAACACCGGTGTATTTCGGTGGAACGTCTCACGACGAGGCTAAAATCTGTGATTATTGGTGAAAAAAAATGCAATTGATCACGGACAGAGAGTTCCAACTTTATTCACATATTTTATACACTTATTTTCGAGGAAGCATCTATTTCTCACGCTTGGTTCTTACAGTAGATGCAGTCATACTTTGAGAGGCTTGCATCCGTCATGGCAGCACGTTCCTTGCGGTTCGCAACCCGCAATTTTGAAAACGCACGTTCCACATTTGCGCTGGACACAGAAATCCCAGAATGTCCAGCGAGGCTTGGGACAGTAGTGGCCAGTCAGGTAAATGAAGTTTCCAAAATAACACTGGATCAACGGTGCTAGTCACAGCCTACTGGCGGTAACAAAGAAACTCTGATTTTAGGTCACTCAGCTTGCGCTCGTCTCGGAGGACCAGCCGATAGAAACTTTCATAGGGCACAAATCCCTCTGGCAGCTCCACTTTTATGCACGGATTAGCAATTTGCACGCAAAACCAGAACGACGATTCCTCCATGATGAATGATGAAAACCCCCACGCCAACAAAACCTTTTTTCCGTTTCCCCAAAAGCCAATGGAAACTAAACAGATAACAATGAACGCATCTCAGTTCTCAAAGGTCAGTAGCCCTGTACGACACGGATGTTGGCAGTGTCTTCCAGGAACCACAGCAACCTCTGAACACGTTGCTTGCACCGACATCACTTGGCCAGACACAATGGGGAAAGCGCACGTGAGAGCGTACTTTTGCTGCTATAATATTTCCACAAAAGGGGGCCATGGGAGACACAATGAGGGAAAGGCGTGTGAGAGCTTAGCTTCCACTGCGTTAACTAGACGCTTTTTACCCCCAGAAAGGAGGGCGGACTGACACCACGTGCAAGCCATGTATAGACACTGGAAGAATGCAGGATCCACGAGATAACACGTTTGACGAACCTCTACGGGGAAAGGGTTTCGCTAGGTCGGTGTTTTTCAACCGGTATTTTTCGGTTTTAACCAGGACGAAAATATCCAACCACCGGTGTTTTTCGGTTTTAACCGATTTTGTATTTTCGTCACCGACGGATGTTTATCGGTGTTTTTCGGTTAAAACCGGAAAATACACACCCTAGTTATAACCCAAGACTGGCAAAAAAACCACTCAAAATTTGGAGAAAACTGCGAAAAAATGGGGGATGGGCAATTGTCTGGTCATTAATTTTACATATAAGCGTAGTGTGCATATTTTCTCAGATCTTACAAATTTGGGAATGGACGCTTAGTGTGGAATGGGTGGATGCACGGTATTCTACAGTACTTGTCCAGACAGCCTTAGCCAATTCCAAAATGTAGAAACAGCTACAGAAAGCTGAAAGAAAGTTGTGCGTTGCCTTTTCTATCGAACAATTTTTTTTAATTGCAATCTCGATGTTGTGCGCTGTCCAATTCAAAATGTTTAATTGAAATGTTTCATTTTTTTTCACTTCATTTTTTACTTTATTTTTTCCGCGTGTATACCTGACATGGGCAAACACCGAGGTTACTTTCTAAACACACTACCTTTGTACTTGTAACACACCATCTTTGTACTAATTTGTACTTGTACAGTTTAGTGCTTCTTCGTGATAAACACTTTTTAGTAGTAGAGTGAAACCCGTTTAGAACGATCCCACGTACAGCGAATTATTGTCGATATTGAACTTATAAAAAATTTAAATAAAAATGATGTAAAAAGTACTTTTAATAACGAACAACAAATTGGCTATATCAAACTTTTCCCCCAAGAAGGCTTCCAAAAACGTGCGAACAATCGTCTTCTTGCCTGTCCCCGTCCCTTCCCCTTTACGCCTTCCGCCCCCCCCCCCCCCCCCCCCAAAAAAAAAAATCTAAAAAAGAAAATTTCAAAAGCTCAAGCCGCGAACAAAATTGACAAAGAGAAGCGATTCAGAAATAGAGAAAGCTAAAAAAACACTGCACACACGCACAGAAAAAAAAAAAAAAAATCCCAAAGCGGTTGGCTACGAAGAGAAGTTATTCAGAGGGGGATATAAGCGAGCAAAATAAACTCTGCACGCATGAAAAAAAACACAAAAAAAACACATCCTAGTGTTTTGTTACAAGGCGAAAGCGAAGAGATGAGAGAAAAAGATAAGCTCTCGCCTTAAAACGAACGCATTGTGGAAGTTCTTTGTAAATGGTTTTTGCTATATCGAACTACTTGTAGCACTTCCTGCTGATCGTTATAAACGGGTTTGACTGTACTTAGTACCTGGGTAGTTCTGTACTGCATGGTACTTAGTACAGTGCAAAGTACTCGCAGTCTGCACTTAATGAAGTGCTTTAGTACTTTGTGCTAAATAACTTATCTTTGTACTCTGAGCTACAATAACTTGCATTTTTGTAGCCTTTCCCCTGGCCTCCCATTTATGTACCTGGTGAAAATAAAGTCTGTACTATTTGGTATCATATCGTACCAAAAGAAAGTTGCCTAGAACCAACAATAACAGTGAAGATGCCGTAATAATATAGCTTACATTTCTTTCTTTTAAAGGTAAAAATATATCTCTTACCCCATATAGGGCATCTACAGCATAAACAGGAATGTCATACAAAGTAAGCGCTCGTACAGGGTGAGGCCAAAAGGACCAACACATTTGGCACTTCTTGCAAAATTCAAACTCCAGATGTACATATACCTGAAATTGGGCCCACAAATGTCACTTCACAAGAAGTTTTATGTCTAGCTTCTCTAGAGCTCAACTACTCAGAGCTGGGGAAATATTAAAAATAAAGCAGAACCGACGGTTACATATTTCCTACATCCTATACCGGCTTATTTGTTGTCTGCACACTGGTTTACGAGCTTGCCAAACGCAAAAACGCTAAGAACCAATAGTAGATGCTGGCGATGAGCAAAGCAACTGTGATAATTAATAATATTAACGAAATATATGATCAAATAATGACCCCCAAGGGGCAACCTCACAAACCAGTGAGCAGACGACAAACGTCCGGTATAGGGCACAGGGAATACACGGCCACCGTTTTTGCACTGCTTTCCCAGTTTCAGGTATGTACAATGAGAATTCGAATTTTGCAAGGCGTGCCAAATCTGCTGGCCCTTACACCCTCGCCCCGTATGTGCTAAAACACAAAAATCCATGCTCTCGATTAGAGACCATAGATGAGAGCATGGATGAGAAGCGTTGCACCATACGAAATTGGCAATTATAGTCACAGATAGAATGAGAACGGGAGGGCGAGTCGTTGAGCCTCAGGCCTCTAACACGCACTGCATGCTTCCCACTGCGCCTTGGCTGCGCACGCGCGCTCAAAGTTCACAGGACGCTGGAGCGTCGTCGAAGGTAAGAAACCTGCACTGGAGGCAAGACAACCAAAGCTCCTCCCCGCCGTTCTCACCTCGTCAATGGCCATAGAGTCTTTCAATGCAAGTCCGATATTTATGAGCAACGCAAATAACTGCTTTACCTGCTTACCTGTTTGAAGGTCCCCGGTAGGTTGTTTACCCAGTGCAAGCTGAAACAAGAGAGACCCAGTGTCGTTAACTGAACGTCAAGCCATAGGATTACTTGTACTGCACAACCAATACTGGAAACTGTGCCACCTCCCGAGCCTGACGAGAAGAAATTATGCAAGCTTGACCGTGCCCACAAAGACCGGAAGGCCAGGAACATGTTGAGCGCAAACTACCACTTTGCAGAAATTGACACCGCGCGACTTTAGGTGGCACGACGTGGTTACGTCATTTCCCCACTAGATTTAGCCGAGGAGTTGAAATCACATCACTTTAGGTCACATGATGTCAATTTACCCGGTAAATGATGTCACGTGACCTGAGGCCGTGTGAAGTGGTCGTGACGTCTATGTACCCGCCGAGTTTAGTGTGGAAATTGATAAAACGGTTCTTCACGACGGTTTTCTCACGGAATTCGGCTGATAAAACATATTCTGTGTTAAAATAAGTGTTGAAAAGCCTAGCTGGGGCTTTTTCCACCCCGACTGTTGGTTTCTGTTTTTTCTCTCAATCTCAGGCTTTCAAAATTTCAAGCATAAACTCTGAATTTCTCCTTCAGATCATGGTGCTACCTCAGATATGACCATGTCACACCTAGAAAAGAGTAAAGTTTTCACTGTCGTACCAGTGAAATGTGCATCCTCATATTATATGCTATGGTGTATAAGTCGCTGTTGTGCCAAAAACCTCCTAATCAATCAATCAATCAAATCTTCACATTTACGTTTCAATGTCCGAATACCACTGGTGCCTGGATTTTAGTAACATTCACCGTAATTACTGACCAAAATGCCTATAAGAGAGCAACTGAAGGAGACCAATCTCTCAAAAATAGATTTTTAGGCATTGCTGAGATGTAAACACTCTCTGTAGCAAACAAATACATATTTCGACAAACTGTACACACATTCTTGTTACAACTTGTACTTGCCTCAGGCTGCTCAGGAAAATGTCGACAGAGTTGTCAGCAAATGGGAGAAATTCTTCGTCTACTACCATTCTTGTTGTGGGAACATCTTGAGGTGGTTTGCAGTGAGCCTGGGAGACCAAAAAGGTATGGGAAGAGGTTTGTGCCAACTGTTAAAAATAACTGCCATGTCTCTCGCACCTCTGGCAGGAAAGTTTTCAGAAGGAAATTCAGCATGCTTACAAGATAGCCTTCCGACGTGTCACACTGAATCAGCGATTCGACAGCTTCCTGTACGAAAGAAAGCAATATCAACCGTTGATTCGACGAGCAACATTTAAAAGACCATACGACCTGATTCAAACACGAAAGGCACGTGGACCTCACTATCTTTACCTAGCTCTCGGTGCTCCTCCTTTTTATAACTGTACAAAAATGGTCCGTAACTTGCTTTAAAAAGAGGAAATTTTATACCTTATTCAACCTCCTATTGTTTGGTCTTTTCAGACATTTATAAGAGCATATATCATGATGTAACACCTTCCATGATTGCTTTGCACACAGTTAGTATGGAGTCACAGCTTTGTCCGACTTCTGTATATACTATATGACAATACTGCTCTTTTAAGAAGTTTCTACATACAAAGTAAAACCAAGCACTGAAGTATGTTTATGTTGAAATCTTTTTTTTTTTTTTTTTATCTTGCTAAGTGCGTATATGTTAATTTCTCTTACTCAACCCTCTTGCAGCAGTTCGAGTGTGACATATATTCATCTGCCCCGAAGCCAAGGAGGGCAGAGAGTTCTTACATTGTCCAAGTGCTGGCCAACATAGCCCCGTCCGCAACCAAGCTCGACGGCAACACTGAATTTCCTGAGGGGTGGGAAAGCACGACCTGTTAGCAAACGTTGGGCTTAAACAAAATGTAGCGTCACTCAATTGAATTCGATCGTATGGTTGGCTTCTCCAACTCATGCTTCAAACTGCTCATGCTTCAAACTGCACCTTCTATGCAATGCAATTGCATTGCATAGAAGGTGATATAGCAATAGAAGGGGAATGCAATTTATGGGATCCAGCTAAGAACCTATACGGGTGGCATGTCATGAGGTCTGGATGAGAAGCTGCACATCCAACAGGGACGAACGAAGAAGACAATGATGCTCTTTCTACCAAAACCTATGTGACCCCTCATAGCCTCGTTCCACTAGAGCGACAAACACTGACTTTTGTCCAGCAACCCCACAAAGTTCTGCGTCCTCTCGTTCCACAGTGGCTACAAGCACCCCCGACACACGATGGAAAAGTTCTTGTTTGTTGTCCGACTGGAAGCGTCGAGAGTGGTCCCACCGAGGAACATTTCTAAAACACAAACTTATCCTCCTTGCTTGCTTATACTCTCTGCTGCCTCTCTTCCTGTCCTTCTACCCTCCTTCCCATTTTCCCCTCGGTTCGCTCGGCCATGGTCTTGGCCACTTCGGCTTCTGCTCGTTCCAGTCCCTCCGAGGCTTGGAGTGCTCATGGCTTGTTTGCTGGCAGTTGACATGGCATGTCGCTGTTGCTGCTGTTGCTGGTTTTGCCGTAGCTGGTTTTGCCGTTGCTGATTTTGCTCACGAAAGCCTGTGCACCAGGCGGTGCTTCAAGACACACGATACGCTGATGTTCGAGGAGTTATGGGACAGTATAAGACCGCTCACCACAACATAGGACAAGGCGTTTCGGCAAGCCATTCCAGCAGGTAAGAGACTTGCCATCAAGCTTTGCGATAGTCAAAGTGCTGTATATCCCACAGCAAATGCCTGTGTTCAATCATTTGAATGAGAATGTTCTCGAAATTGGAGTGAAATTCCGCAGCACTTAGGATCTCAAACGTCTTGAACAACCCAAACAAGGAATAATTTGGAAATTAGAGTTTGGAAAAAGTTTGGTGTCAATTGTCATGATGGTTTGCAGGCTGCCAATGACAAATAAAAACTAAATAAAAGCTTTAATAATACAAAAAAAGCAATCGCCTCTACTTTTATTGCGTTTGTCAGAGCATATTACACGAAAAACGTGTCACCCGACTCTGTTTCTGTGTATTCTGAAGTGCTTTGTTGCCAACTGGAGTCCCACTACAAAACAAGTTTCCTTGCTTGTGGGTTCTGCATCATGTCTGCCAGGTGGGACGGCGTACTCTGACAAACAGGTTGTCTGTCGGTGCCGTTTGTCACGCATTATCGCTTTTCGCTATTTTTATCGCTCAAGTGGGACGAGGTCTTTAAAGGAGCTGTGCAATGATTTTAACGTTAAAAGAATTTGCATCTTCTACTTCTGGTATTGTTTATCTTGTCACACAGGACAGAAAATACATCTCCTTCCTTCGAAATGTTGTGATTTCGCCGCGTAATCGCGAGGCAAAAATTGGAGTATTTTCCGACCTGCAGCTGTGAGTGGCGGCCATGAGAACCATGCGGTGTGATGTCAAAAGGGGGAGTTGTAAAAAGATAGCAAGTTGTCAATGAAAAAACAGTGAAAAAACAGAAAATACCTGCTCGATAAAAGGTAATTTTTCTAAAATCTTGTCGTTCCAGTATAAATTTAAATGCGTCAAAAACCTGGTATCATCGACAAAACTTTTATTATACAGAGTTTTAGTGGCGCCATCTATCCGAGGTCAACAAAACCGTCAGCTCTATCTGCTACCGCAAACAGCCACCAGAAGCCGGAGGGAGACAGGGGCAGAGCCGGACGAGGATGGCCAAACCCGGACGAACACAATGGCACTTTCCTCTGTCGCCATGTTGATTGCGCCGCTTAAGCAAGTGGTCATGTGTTCGCGAGCAGGTGAATTCTCGGTGCTCACTGATGGCTCTAGACAGAGAGCTTCACCGGAACCCAGCGTGTCCCCCTGTTACGTCACAGCGCACATGGCTTGGAAGATGATGAAGGAGTTGAGAGGTGTCGAAAATCTCAATTTTTGTCAATTTTTAAAATAAAAACTAGGACATGCAGGCAAAAGCGGTGTTTTGTTCTTTACCTCAGAAAGGTTGAGATGCCAACTTTCAAATTATTTAAGCAAAGCACTGAAATTGTTGCACAGGTCTTTTAAGGGTAAAAAGTTTAGTTGTCTTTTTTATAAAATAACATACTCTAAACGACTTAATTTTTGCAAGGACCTAATTTTTGTGAATCTCGCGAATCGCCTACAATTCAATAAAAATAGGTCCAGTGAACAATTCTCGTAAAATGTACACACACTGGAATCTATATTGAGATCCCACCGCGTCGCGAAAATTAGAACCCGCAAATTATTCCAAAACTTCAGCTTTTCCCCAAATCGCGAAATATTTAGCCCCTGAAAAATAAGTTGTTTACAGTATATGAAGTGCCTCTATCAATAAATACAGCAAAAATATTCATAGTAAAAAATCACAAAGACAAGCTTGAGAAACAAAAAAAGAGCACAATATGACCGTCATTGAGGTAGGAAGAAGAGGCAACATGTCGGCTCAAGCCAGTCAAACAAGCAACTCCCAAGTGAAGCCTAAAGTTGAGGCTGCGGTCAGTGGGAATGCCCCCAAGGGGGACCAAAACAGCTGTTGGCGCAAGAACAGTTGTCCTTTCCGTCCAATTCTTGGTCATCGTTGGGGGCATGTCTCTCCAACCGGAAGTCTCCACCGGCTTCACCTCTGGTGGCATCCCGTAGCCTCCAGAAGCTTCCTACCTCCATGATGATCGTACATAGGCTCGTTTGTTTACCAACTTTCAAGTACCTCGGATTTGGTTAACTTCGAAGTGTTCAGTACCTTTTGATGTCAAAAACCCTGTCCGCCAGTCGGTACCCAGCCTAGAACAACGAAAACATATTGACATTAATACTTGCAGCCAGCGGCACCATTATAAAAAACATTACTGACACAAGCAGCGCCATCTACCTGGCAGAGTCAGAACTAAAATACTCAAATAACAGTCTGTTTCTCTGCGATTCAACGGATAGATTCTGAAAAGGATGACCAAAGGATCTCATGAAAACATTGACAAGCGTGAGGGCACCCCCCAAAAGGTAAACCTTGCCCAAAAGGACAAACTGTGTGCAGAGTGTGGTTATGCGTCCCACAAGAATCAAGCTTGCCCTGTGGAGGGCAAGAAGTGCAAGCAGTGTGGCAAACTAAACCAATTTGCAAGGGTGTGTCTGTCAAACAAGCCAACTAAGAGAGCGTCCATACAGATGACGCCTCGGAAAGTGAACAGCTTAGAATGCGAAGATAGCTACTTTCTGCACACTGTCTTGTCGGGGCACACGAAAAAGAGTGGAGCCTGGAAAACTGAACTACAGATAGAAGGCGAGCCAGTGGTGTGCAACCTAGACACCGGGGCAAACTGTTTAGTCATGCCACTCCAGCAACCAAGGGCCATCACATGCAAGGAACTAGAACCAAGCAGCACATTTCTAAGCTCATAATTTGAACAGGAAAAGAAATAAAAAAAAAACTGCTGGCAAGGTAACACTACAAGTGTCCAGCAAACATAAAACTGCTCCAGTCGTCGTTTTTTTTTTTTGTTGTGCAAGAACCAGTATAAGCAACCCTCAGAAGTAAACTGTCCCAGGAGAAGAACAACCCTACCAGGCAGCATGCCTGTTTGAAGAGACTTTCAAAGGCATAGGTGAGCTACGTGGTGTGGTGTACCACATAAGGGTCACCAAGGATCTTAAGGCATAGTCAAGCCAGCCTGTAGCATTGCACTAGCTCTTCTGCCACCGAGCAAACTGAACGTGTCAGACAGATGGCTGTGGTTGCCAAGAAAAATGAAAGTCGGAATATACTTGGACCCTGTTGACCTCAACAAAGCACCCAAAAGAGAGTGTTACCACATGCCGATGCCTGAAGACATTGTGACACAGATTGAGAACACCAAGTAATTTTCTACTTTGAATGCTGCCAGAGGGTTCTCGCAGATCAAACTTGACAAACCCAGCTCGTGCACCCTGAGAGTATGCAACATATGTGCACATGCCTCCATAGGGTGTGCACCATGAGCACGCCCTACAGAAGATAGATTCCTTTGAATGCCGTTTGGCACTGCAACTGCCCCAGAGGTTTTCCAAAGAGCAATGCACCAAGGTCTCACTGGTGTCGACATAGTTATGAATGACATACTCGTGTAGGGCTCGAGAAAAAAAGGGCTCGACGCATGCCTACACAGTGTCTTGCAGCAGTGCCAAGAGGTGAACCTCAAGCTGAACTTGGAGAAATGCCAGTTTTGTAAAACTGAGGTGCACTACTTTGGGCTTGTGATGACCAATAAAGGGATCTCAGTAGACCCGAACAAAGCAGAGGACGTCTTTGCAGTCCAAGTGCCGTAAAATGAGAAAAAACTCTAGACGTTTCTAGGCACGGGGAACTTTGTTGCCAGATTTATCCAGAACCATGCTGGAGATGAGCGCTCCTCTTCGAGACCTGCTAAAGAAGGCCAATGCTTGGGTATGGACAAAGTCCCAACGGGAAAGCTTTGAAAGTCTTTAAACTGCCCTGGCATACTACGACAAAATGCAGCCGCTTGTGTTGCGGGTAGATGCTAGCTAGCGTGGAGTAGGAGCCATAACTCTGCAGAATGAACATCCCCTAGCTTAAGCTTCTTGCTCAATGACTGAAGTGCAAAAGAATTGCACACCAATTGAGAGGAAGATGGGTTATTGTGCATAGCTGAACTCGCTTCCACAGCTACATCTTTGCCCAACAATGCATCTTGATGCAAAGCGACTAGTGCCCTTTAGAAGCAATCTTCAAGAAAGCTCTACACCAATGCCCACTGCATCAGCAGGGGATGTGCCTGACTCTCCAGAAGTACTCACTGCAGATACAGTACAAGCCTGGAAAGGAGATGTTAACAGCAAATGCCGTCACAGCTCCCTTCAAAAAAAGAAGGTACCAGATGAAGAACACTTTCAAGTGAATGGCATTCAAGAGCTAGCAGTCCTTTAGGAAGACTCCAGCAGACCAAACTTGCAACGAACCAGGATGAAAACCTTCGCACCCTAAGGGAGTGTGCAAGCTTGTGCAGTCCTGAAGGCAATACGGACCCTACTGGCCATATCATGACAAGATCCATGAAAAGATGACTTACTCTATCGGTCAAAAGGACTGAACACCCCAACAGTATGAGGAACTGTGTCCTGGACCTCCAGGGGTTTCCTCAGGAATTGAAACTAGGCAGTGTCTAAATTTTTAAGGGGAGAGGGTGGGGGGGGCATTGAGAATAGAGGAGTCGTTGCGAATTAAGGGGGTGCCTTCAGAGAAAAAGGGGGGTGTACAACCCCTCTAGGGGGTGTGTAGGGAAATCACTGTGGACCTCCTATGTGTAGTTCATAGGGGAACTGAAAAGATGAATCAATGTGCCGGGGGCATCATTTTTTGGTTGGGTATGTCAGCAGACATCAGAGAGAAAGCAGAGAGTTGTGCTCACTGCAGGCACCACAAACCCCAGAGCCAATAACCACCCATGATGGGCCATAACGTACCAGAGCTACTTTGGCAGACAGTTGGTATGGACTTTTTCCACAAAGCGGGAGAAGAGTGTGTGATCAGAGGTTTCAGAACTATTTGGGAGATGGCGGTGGTGGTGCTGGGAAGGGGGGGGGGGGGGGGGGGGGGAGGGAGGGGCACAAGAGCGATTTTTTTACCTCTTCCCCATATTGTTTCCATTAAATTTCTAAAATATATGGGGGGGGAGGGGGATGGGGCAATCACCCCCCACCCCTGCCCTGCCTGTTCTGATGCCACAGTATGTTATCATTACTGATTACTACTAATTTTATTTTGAACTGGCACTTGAAGTGCACCACAGTAGAAGCTGTGATGAAGTTCTGTCAAGAGTTCTTTGTGCCCCATGTCCTTCCCCACAATATGGTGAGTGACAACAAACTTCCAATTACCAGTTACAGTTCTCCGGAGTTCATGAAACAGTGCGACGTTGTGCACACAACATCTATATGGAATGGCAACGCATGCCGAACAGGAGGCAAAAAAAGTTGTTGACCAAGACGCCCTACATTACAGCCAAGTTCTTTGGTGCCCTGTTAAAATGAGGAAACAAGCCGAGACAAGTTCCTTCAGCCTTAGCTGTCTCTAAAACCCAATGACTTTGTTAAATCTATGTTGTCTTCGGTAGGCATAGGGTGAAGCCCTTTACAGTAGAGTATCAAGTGCTCAGCCGTCTCGTCCTCCCCTCCACAAGCAGTGCACACTGTATCCATTTCCTGGTACTTCGCTCTGTATGTTCTGGTTTGCAGAACACCTGTCCTCGCCTGAAACAACAATGAGCTTCCCCTAGAATTGTCATAAATGCTTTCTTTGGCAATAACTGTTTTGTTTAATCTATAGCTCTCCAGAACCGTCTTTGTCTCCATTCCTTCTAGCCACCAATCTCTTTCTGTGGCCTTAACTTTCTTCTTAACTGAGACCTGCTCTTCCGTAACTCCACTATAGCCCAAACATTTCCTCTTAATTTCCTAGTGCGCTGCCTCCACTTTGTGTCTATACTCCTCATGTATAAATAGCTGACAACCTTTCGTGCCCATTGCTCCCCATCAATTTGCCTCAACCGATCATCAAATTCTATCTTGCTCACCACTTCCCTGCTCTCAAATTACGCCCATCCCATGTCTCCTTGTACTCCCTGGTTTGGAGTTTTGCAATGTGCCCCCAAAGCCAGCCTACCTATTCTGCGCTGTTTCATTTCTAGTCCTGCATGCATTTCAGATTTCATGCATAGCACTGCGTTTCTAAAAGTCAAGCCAGACTGTGACCCTTTCCAAATCTCCCTCACCACCTCATACCTGTTGTAATCCCAAAGTGCTCCATTTTTCATTACAGCTGCATTTCCGTTGCCCTTACCTATTATATACTTTTCATGCTCACTGAGATATTCTGCACCATCACATGTCCATACTTCTTGTATTTACTAGCATTGGATGGATGGATGAATACGGCTGAGCCCTTTGGATCGGGCGGTAGCTTACGCCACCTAGCCATTTTGTTTTACCGTTTAAGCTTAGAATATTTAAATGTGAAATCTATATTCACTCCGCAGTGCAAAGAAAGTGAGGCTATGAAACCCCCTTGCCATCAGTGGATAAGAAACTACCTAGTTTTCTCTCGCTTTCTGCCACCATTCACTTAATCTTTGCTTGGTAATCTCTACAGTCTTGAAATCCACTCTCTCTTCGCTGTCTCTAAAACCCAATGACTTTATTAAATCTATGCTGTCTTCGGTAGGCATAGGGTGAAGCCCTTTACAGTAGAGTATCAAGTGCTCAGCCGTCTCGTCCTCCTCTCCACAAGCAGTGCACACTGTATCCATTTCCTGGTACTTCACTCTGTATGTTCTGGTTCGCAGAACACCCGTTCTTGCCTCAAACAGCAATGAGCTTCCCCTAGAATTGTCATAAATGCTTTCTTTGGCAATAATTGTTTTGTTTAATCTATAGCTTTCCAGAGCCGTCTTTGTCTGCAGTCCCTCTAGCCACCAATCTCTTTCTGTGGCCTTAACTTTCTTCTTAACTGAGACTTGCTCTTCCGTACCTTCGCTATAGCCCAAAAACTTTCCTCTTAATTTCCTAGTGCGCTGTCTCCACTTTGTGTCTACACTCCTCATGTATAAATAGCTGAAAACCTTTCGTGCCCATTGCTCCCCGTCCATTTGCCTCAACCTATCCTCAAATTCTACCTTGCTCACCGCTTCCCTGCTCTCAAATGATGCCCATCCCATGTCTCCTTGTACTCCCTGGTTTGGCGTTGTGCAATGTGCCCCCAAAGCCAGTCTACCTACTCCGCGCTGTTTTACTTCCGTACCTTCTAGTCTCGCATGCACTTCGGATTTCATGCATAGCACTGCGTTTCCAAAAGTCAAGCATTCACTGGCACAGGCAGCGCCATCTACCCGTCGTAGTCATAACTAAAACGCCCAAATAACCGGTCTTCGTTTCTCGGCGGTCAACGCGCACGCTTGTGCCTTCATACGCGCGATCCACAGTATTTATTTTAGCTCAGGAGAGCCGCGGCGCCGCAGAGAGGCAAGTCGTCCACACCACAACATGAGCCGATGCACACAATCCGGTGGAGCGAGAATCAAACGTCAAGCGAGTTTTTCCGATAAAGGTTCGAAAACGAAACTGCTACTTCGCCAATGAAGTCCGACGAGACTGCCCGCTTAATACAGACTTCATACCTATCCTAAGGAATACCCCAAGAAGATGCCCACACACTTACTTCACTCTTTAAATAGTCGTAAACTTCACCGTTGGGATCAGAAGCAGCCAAGTTTTTGTGACGAGTTTTGGCCTTTCTGTCGAAAACGTTCATCTGATGACCGGGTGGCACCGTCACAAATTTCGAAACGGACCGTTGCCGCAAAGGACCGCACATTCTCTCCGTCTTACGAGATATCACTGTCTTGCAGTTGAGTGCCTGTCGAGCTGAAAACCAGCGAACACTAACTCTTGAGGCATGCATTTACTAAAGCACGTTTCACCAGTTTCACCGCCTTCACCCTACGATCCAACTTCGCCTGCCTCCATTCATAGAGTTTTAATTACGCTAGAGAAGAGCAACCTCGGACAAAAAGCGAGTTGCGCTTGCGCGCGCCATCGTCAGGGTGTACAGCTGCGTTATCTGGCGGTAGACGCTTATTTCCAAAAACCACTAAAAACTAAAGAAAACAATAACAAATAAAATAAATTTTAAATATTGTTATAAGTTCATATTATTAAAAAAAAAAGATTTATAATGTGTAAGTTTAGCGTCCACATCGCACTGCCTAATTTTTTTTTTATACGTCGGCGGCTGCGGCGGCTGGAATATTGGCGCGTAATTCAAAATTACGTGCCACTAGCAGACCCACTTGCGCTTACTTTTGTATGTCTTGTCCCCTTCGTGTTGTCTTCCCAGTTCCATTGTCGTTTAGCGGTAATAATTCACAGCGTACTTGATTCAAAGCAATAGAATCGAAGGCGACATATCCTCCCTAAAAATATGTTCACGCTAAGTTTTGAAGAACTGATTTGGCCATAATTTTGATTTGATTTTCGCTGTGGCTAGTGTTACATCCGGACGGAGCACTGAAACGCGTAGCCTCCCCCTCCCCCCTCTGCCCTCCTCTTTCTCTCTCTTTGTCATGAATTTAGGGAAGGCGGAGATCTGGACGTAACTTGGGTTACGTCGGACGTAACGCTAAACACTTCGTATTATTATTATTATTATTTTTTTTTTGTATTTTGCAAATTGGCCACAGGTGCCGACTACCGGTAAAAAGGGGGGGGGGGGGGGGGGGGGGGAACCTCTGGCTGCACGAGGGGAGGAAGGTAGGACGAGCCTGTCCGGACTTCGAACAGATACCGGTGATCAAGTCTATCAAGCGCCATCGCTTGATTGAAAGAGACGCAGACCCCCGACAACAGACGGGTAAAGATCGGTCTCAGTTGTGGCAATCGCCATTTCGGTCCATTCGAATCTTCGAAGCTTCAGAAGGGTCGCTCTGAACAAGTCGCTCCAAGGTCGCTATGGAGCATCACCATATTGAAAGCGTTCCTCGCCAGCGTCTTTGGCACTGCGCATGCAGTCCACTTATCAATCACGCTTATCTCAACAGATCTCTAACAATTGTATTGTTGTTCTTGCGTATTTCAAGCAGACTGTCTAACCGGAACCGAACCGTTATTTTTGGTCGAACCGAAATCCTCGCCGCCTTCTTAAACTTTACCCGGAACTGAACTAAAAAAAAAAGAAAAAAAAATGATAACAGTAACCGGTTTAAAACGGTTCACGGTATTTTTTTTTCTATTTTGTTAGTGTCATAAATTGAATGCTTGAGAATACAAAAATATGCACATTGATTTCCCTTCACACCCCCAAGGAACCCCCCCCCCCCCCCCCCCCCCCCCCCCCCATTCATGAATTTACACACTTTCCCCTAATTTCAATTCCTGGGGAAGCCCCTGAATCGGCAGCAGTATTTCTATGTATTAATCAAATCGCCATATACAAAATTGTAATGTATGAGAAATTGTGGGTTTTCGTGGTGCCTTTGTATCGACACTATGATTAATCATGTGCCATGTAGTCACATGAAATCGTAGTGTCAAGACATGCTGTCAAGTAATTTCATGTCACGCGGCCCCGTGAAGTCACGTGACGTTACTCACTGCGTCAAGTCACTTAAAATGAGAACGTAACTAGATTTATTGCCGATGTTGATGCAGTGACATCACATGACATCACGACTTCGCACCGCGAGTCACGTGAACTCGATTGTCATGAGCCCGAGTCTTGTGCATGCTCGGGTTTATGACAATCAGCATCGCCAAACATTCGGGTAATGGCTCTTGTTCAATCAAAGATGAGAATAGCCGAACTCTAACAATGTCTGAAGCTCAGCCCACGCTCTATACACTTTGCAGACCCCAGCCCATGATATGATGAGCACTGGCGGTATATAATTAACGTCAGATAACGTGACCGTTTGTACTAATTGCGAGTTGAGGAGGGGAAAGTTCTTTCTTTCCTTTAGTTTTTTCTGCGTCCTTCATTGCGCGGAGAGAAAAACTAATGGGTGTTTTTGCAAGTTGTCAAAGTCAGTGATCAGTTCTTAGCAGTGTTGGGTAAAGTACTTCTAGAAAGTACTTCAAGTGAAGTACAAACTACATTAGAGATTATGTACTTCAAGTAAAGTAAAAGTACACCGGGCGCAATGTACCTGAAGTAAGGTACTATAAATACAATATACCTGCAAAGTAAAGTAAAAGTACGTTAAACCCAATATATTATAATGCCCTTTCATTCCACTATACTGTGTTTTTAAAACTGGCATGCAATGCCCCGGGGGTAATCGGCCGTGCTTCAGTTATTTTCGCAAACGGCGACAAATATTGGACGTCAAGTGGCCACAGGGTAGTTGTTTTCCTGTCGCTGACGAAAAATATCTAACACAATCAACTTATAAGACACTTATTTGTATCGGTCTTATTGCCGTCATTATTTCACTCGCTAACTTCCAGATGCTTCGTAAGATTCGATGTTGCATCGTACTGTGAGCTAAGAGGCCGAGGCGGACAGAACTTGCATATAGCGTAGAGCATGTTGCCATCCGAACATGCCATCCCAGAAGCCATCAACAATCGCAGGCAATTTCTTTGTGGGTAAAGAAGCCATTGCGTGCGCCGGGCTCCACCTCGAAAAGGTTTAGCTCCTATGGAAACGCAGCGGCGCCACCGGTCTGCAAACAACACGGCGCCGTTTCGCATGGGAGACAAGAGATGGCGCAAGCGGTCGCGACGCCAACTGCCGCCAACGAACGAGCAGACGACGCCGAGAACCGGCGTTTTTAGCAGACAAGGAACTGCAGTTCCTTGCTGTTACCGTGCCTGTCTTTTTTGTTTCTGCGACTGTCACCGCCTGCGGAACGCGCGCCGCTTTTGAGTCGAAAAGATCGTGTGCTAAAAAGGCCTGCTCTCGGCGCCGTATGCTCGTTCGTTGGCGGCGTTTGTTGCGCCATCTCTTGTCTCCCGTTCGAAACGGCGCAGTGTTGTTTGCAGACCGGTGGCGTCGCTGCGTTTCCTTAGGAGCTAAGCCTTTTTCTTTCTTTACTTTTTCCTCAGGTAAAGTTCGCTCTTCGCAAATTTTAGAAAAAAAAAATGCACCATCTGCGGGCAACGCTGCACAAAGTCGTTGCGCGATAGGTTAAGAAACCGAATTTTCCGGTCGATTTAAAGAGCCTGCCGTCTCCTTGAATCACCCTGTATACACGTTTGCAAGTCCGGTCTCAAGGCGCCGCCATCTTCCTCAGTGGGGTGCGCTCTTGGGCGCGCCCATAATCCGATTCCGACGCCTTAGCAAGGCTTCGTAATAGGATTATGACTCGCCCAAGCGCACCCCAGCCAGGCAAGATGGCAGCGCCCAGAAGCCGGACTATCTAAATTATGACGCGAACCATCATTGCATGAACTGACGTGGAATCACCCTATATTGGTTGACCTGGCTTGATTTGTTCCTATGGGCGTGTTGACTATGAATAAAGATATTAGTTCCCGTAAAAACAGCCCAGCATTTCTAAGAATTGTACTACCCATGGTTTCAATACAGAGGAAATACCTACACAGGTAAGAATTTGCGAGCCATTTGACTGGAGGCAATTAGGCGTTCGGCTCGAATCATTTGTATTCCCGTCATTTCGCTTCGGAAGGCAAGTAGATCTCAAGTTTTGCAGTACACCTGGCCTGCCAATGTGACTATTTTTAGTTCGCGTTTTAGTTATGCGTCATGACGCTCACCATCTTGCTCGAGGATGCCATGTGAAAAAATAACAGAAAAGTTGGAAGGACTACATATTTGTTTTGTTGATTTTTCTAAGGCCTCTTGGTCCCTTTTTACCGTATATCGATAGACGCTTGTATTGGACAGTGGCTCATGCATGATGGAACGCTGGAACGCTGCTTTCATTGTTACGTCTTGCAAATGTTGTAGGAGCTCTTCAGACGGGGGCAGAATAGCAGACGGACGAAGGTGAAAACTGACGCCAACGCGAATCTTTCATGCCCGCGTTTGGGCATGGCAGACGATCGACGGCGGCGTGGAATAGCAGCTGACGATGCCGAAAGCTGCCGCGTGTTTTCTCGCTTGACTAGCAGGCGGTATCAGACTTCCAGACTAGACACACCGGATGTCGGGAAAATGTAGGCAATAGGCCTCCGAGTATGTTCGGCCAAGTAGTTAAGCCAATCCAGTAGTAATGAAAGGGGTCACTGACCTGTGGGCAGGGCTTAGAACCGGCAATGACCTCCACCTAAATTGCATCAAACAATGTAAATATTGCACCTTTTTTTTGTACAAAAGATATTTAAAAAAAAAAAAAAACAAGGAAAAAAAAAACCTACGTGTCTTAGTTATCCCTTTAGTAACTTGGAACCACGTCTTCAGATCCTTTCACTTCTCAAGTTAGGGGAATTTGGAGAGGCCAGCTAGACAAATGTGAGTCTTTGGTAAAGGAGTATAAATTCCGAGATGCGAAAAGTGAAGCATAGAAATCTGTTTTATGTCATAGGAAAGCATGCTTATACTGAGCAGCGTGGGCGTCAAAATCACATTTCACAAACATACAAGAACCCGATGCTAAATACTATTCTACAAGCATGTTTTGGCCTTAAGACACAAGGATCGTTGCAGAAAGCTCCAGCACATGGCAACAATGTGACAAAATGTCAACATAAAGAAGTTGCAATGGACAACAGAGGAGAAAGCTACTTGCCAGACATATGAGTGATGGCCTTTTCTTATAGGTGAGTGACTCAACCTGATTGACTCAAGGTCCATTTCTCTTACTAGTCCAGCTCCACCTGGCCATTCTGAAGCTTTCATGCACACAAAATAAAGCAAACCAACATCGTTTGCAGCCCCGTGGCCTGCAATACACTACATTAAAGAACCAAACTTGACAGAAACCTGTAATCCTAATTATTTAGCACACACTGAAACATGCACACACATTTCTGAAAATGGCTAAAACAGATAAAGGGCAACACCGCTCAATTCCAAAATAATTTAAGGTAACTGGTGATTGTATATTCGGAAGCACTAATGATCGACCCTGGGTCATTTGTTTACTGAAAGATTA